ATATACGTCATAATTAATAGACTATGAATTATTTACAGAATTTTACAACTCTATTTTGAAAAAATAGGATCTAAATTAAGAATTATTCTACCAATTATGAAGGACATTATACTTGGAATGTTTCATTATAATTTTCTAGCACCAGATTTTCTAAATATACAACAATATGTATAAAATATATAAAACAGACTTCGTTTTGTAAATATATAAAATATAAATCCCAAGTTTAGCATTAATTTAATAAATTTAATTTAACATTATATATACATATATAGTTCCACTATATAAATCATTAAACGTCCTCTAATTTCTATATAGATCTCTAAATTTGTTTCAAACTTGGCCAATATTATCACAATAACAGAATATCACCTACTCTCGCTACAATGTTAAAACAAACGATTAAAATATTTTCTGTAACTCTCTCATAAATATTCAAATACATTTACGTTCTGGTTTACATCAGAGAGAAGTCAAGAAACAAATTTCGTTCTCCTACTATCGTCATCGTTGATATAAAAGTTTGTTTCATACATCGGGCTTGAATAGAGCCGATCTACGCATGGTAGAACAGCCGATAATCGGCTGGAAGTACGATCCTCTGTCGTTCTACGTTGAAACAGACTATCGATCATGTTTAACGACGATCGATGTACAGGAAGATTCCCAGTGGGACAAAATATGGCTCGAACATGGACAAGACCCGCGGGATCCTACGACGACCGGCCAAACTGGCGTCAGAGTATTTACAGCTGGTTCAACGAAGTACAACACTATCGCACAGGCTACAGTGAAACCACCGGCCATTACACTCAGGTTGATAATCCTCTCATTGTCAGTTGCTAGATACATGCTCCAATCTCTCTTCGAATCGTTCGCCAAAGATTCACCGCTGATCGTGACTCCGGGCGAGCAAAAACGAGTCCCTAGGACAATGATTCTTAATATTTGATATTCGACTTTTCAATGGGCTTCCAGACTTTTTAGAAGCTGAACAAAAGAAACGCGAAAGATTTGGTTAATCTAAGTCAGAGGAAATGGGGAAGAGTTTGCGATACGATGAAACTTTCATTCAACGTACAGTTTACAAAAGTTATTGTCATTGAAATTTTCGAACAAGTAATACATACTGCAAATCTGCGGGACTAATCTAAAAAATTATAGATTCGTCATTTAGATCATTCTGAGAGTTTTCAACATTAATTAAGATTAACTTTAACACGTTCCGTGCCAAGCGATTTGTGTTGTCGTTCAGGCCATTTGATATTTTGACTAAACGTTGATATATTATCACGCAATCTTTCATTACATCATCAATTAATAAGTAATTCTCTTGTTTAGAGTAGCTGTCAACATCCGTGTACCACTTGTGGTACACGTGGCGCTGCGATCAGTTCGATTGCAAAAAAGTGTACCACTTGTGGTACACGTGGCCTGAAGATCAGTTCGATTGCAAAAAAATAAATAAATTAAATAAATATGACTGCGTGTACCACCGGTGGTACACGTGGCACAGAACGTGTTAAAAACTGTAGAAAGAGTTTGTGAAAAAATTACTTTAGTAGAATATTTCTTAAGTTTCAGTGACAGATAGACTGTCTACGTGTCTACAATTTTCACTTAAATCAAATCATTGCTAAAATAGTGTATTATGAGAAAAACCTTAATACTCTAATATCAAAGGCGTTAAAATAAAGAGCTTCATTCAGCAAATTAAATCACGCAAGCTTCCATTTGTATACTTTTTACAAAAGAATTCATTTGACTCTCTAGAAATACAGTGTTTTATAAATAATAGAATTGTAAAACGTAACATTGTGGAATATAAAATTTTCTGACAAGAATTACAAATTGATCGTTTCGATCAAACCACCTGTCCGACAGGCCTATTTGAACAGCATTAACATACATACTTATTTTCGTTACTATCGAATCCATAAATCCAGCGTTAGTGATTTCGGTGTTCTCGCAATTTTCGAAATGGTTAAGATTGTGGAAAGTGAAATTTCTAACGTCAAATACAGGGGAATTACCGAGATATTTTCAGTCGTCTGTGTCGATCGATCGCGATGTAGAACGCCTATTTTACAATTTTAGAATTCACCAATTCGGCAACTCGCCGAGGAACCTTTCAACCCTAAAAATAATAGGTGAAAGTTCATTGTAGCACATCATTTCTAAATGAAGACATCAGTGGAATTAAACTGGAAGAATCTGCGAGATGATAGTACGATTTAATTCACGAATGAAGCAAACTGACGTTTCTATAAATATAATTTACAAAATACAACCAAAATGGAGAGTGACTTATTGAATATACGAGTATCATAGTTTTAATATTTCACATGCTTTTGTACATTGTTCTGTAAATTTATGCAGCCTTTCTCATAAATATGCAATCTACGTGATCGAAAACTATAGTATGGTAGCTATACTATTTATTAATAAATAATAAATAATTGCTTATTATTTATTATATAGTGATAATAATTTCTTACTGATATCGATATAACGAATAATATCACTATATATAATATTATGTTATTTACATGTATTATTGATCATTTAATTTAATTTTTCATTCGTTTATATATGTTCACTGTTGTTCTGTCGATCTAATATACAAGAAACAAGTGCAAAACGTTTTAGACACATGTGACATTTGCTATAACATTCGGTAAGTAACAATCCAAAAGATTGAAAGAGCCAGGTGAGGTAACACAAAGGCGGTGGCATTCGAGAAATTTCTGAAAGAGCTTCCCACCGAGGACCTTAGGCAAGAAATCTCGAGTATGCAAAGGGATGAAGAAGGGTTTTAAATTACTTGCAGCTCGTCTGGAGTGACACATACCTCGTGGGCTGCGGCTACTCCTTCTATTACGATCCTGCCCAAGGCTACACCAAGAACTACGTCTGCAACTACGGGCCCAGGTGAGAACTCCATTTTTCACCATTCGATTCCATTCGACTCGACTACGCGTCAGTTTAAGAAAAAAAAAAAAGGGAAAACTATTCTGAGGAAATTGAAGATCAAATGATCAACGATCACTGTAAAGCGCGTTGTTTGAAATATTTACAAAGATTAGTCGCGTCCACGTTTTTTTCTAGCGTTTGATACAATTATTTTTTATCTGTCTATTAGTGAGTAAAATATATCGTTTGATTATTAATCTTGAATTGTATATAATATGTATATTGCATACATAAATTGTGTACGTACAGTATGTACAATTATATATATATATATATGTAATTTTATATATACATGTACATATATATATGTAAACTGTATTTATAAAGTAAAATCCAATATATAGACTATTTACATATCGAATTGTTATAAATAAAACTATTGTTACAAATAAAATTATAAATAATTTTGAAACATGTTATAAATGAAAATATCATATAAAATTGAAATGAATTTTCACAAATATCTTTCAAATATATCTACACTATCTAGCTATCAATTTGAAAGATTATTCCTCGAAAT